GTCCATACATCCGTATGACGGATTGGGAACTGGTCAATCAACCACCTAGAAGCTACGAGAGAGTCCGGTCTCATGCAAGTCCCTTGACTTAATTTCAGGGAATGTATGATCGTGTCGTATTTGGTGTTCCCTCATTCAGAGCCTGAAAAATATTTCTGTTGAGCGAATCTGCGTCTATAGCGATGCATGTCACCCTAAGTTGTTCAAATATCTCATTTGCGGTGGTGAGGCGGCTGTTGAATCCCCACAGTTTGACAGCGACCATGCGTTTCGGGTCGAGACATTGTCGAAATATGAGTACTACGAGCTGAGCCGGGTGTAGTCTTCTTATAGATTTCGCCACGTTGGAGCATTCGTCTATGACGACATCATCCATCAAACCCGACGGGATAAGCGATGCTGTGCGGCTGTAAAGTGAGTCCCAGTGATTGTATGGGAGACCCCGGATCTCGTGTATGAACTCAATCACGGATTTGTTTTCATCCGATGTGAGTGGTATGCATAGAACGTTATGTGTAGACGATGCTATCTTCATGGCGTGGGTGGTATAACTGTGGACCCCTTTGATACGGTCTATATTAATCCCTAGCAATTTCCATGAATCAAAATGCTGGTCAATTCCCTCCATACCAACAGTTGGGATCACTGGTGGTGGGGAATTAATCAGTAGGATCTCAACATCTGTATGAAACATACGAGTTGAGAACATTCCCTTTCTAACACTACTCTTTGTAAACGCCAGAACCAACACTGCTTCATAATTTCGGACGTTCGTGTATTCGGAGCCCATTCAATGGATTCTATATGTTTGTGTGGTATGTTTGTATTAATATTACCACATGTGTTACCCAACAAGTCGTACCTGAAGCTCTATAGTGCTATGCAAATCTCTTGTATCTCTATCGTCTTGTTCTTCGTGTGGTTTGACTATATAAATAGATTGCTTCCTGATATCACCGGACACTTGAGATGCCGGCAGTATACGACGCAGTGGTATCCCTAGACCATGAACTTTTACTTAGCGTACTTGCACAGGGACACCGTGTAGACGAGCCTTGGGAGAAATGGACACCATTGTATGCGTTGGTGAATAACTTCGAGTGGCATGAAAACATTCCAAAGATACTACAAACACTTCTGGAATATGGGGCAGATGCAGACATAGAATGCGAAGAAAGATTATCATACAGATGCAGTACCAAGTTTTATTCAACTCCACTGCTTGAATTAGTTTGCAGATATTACAAGGAAAACGAGGAGTGTCGGATGGAGATGATATTATTGCTCATCAACAACGGTGCAAATGTTAACTATGTTGACACTCGTGGAGTAAGCATACTGTGTCATGCAGCAGGAGGTCGCGACCGTGTATATGTGGTACAGCTTCTGATTGCCAGCGGGGTGTCACTCGACGATCTTGATGAAGCGTTACGTTCCGCTGCATATGACGGAAACGTAACAGTGGCGCGTTATCTAGTTGAACTTGGTGCATCCACCGTGTCTAGAAGTAGAAATGGATATACTGCAGGCGAGTTTGCTCGTATATCCAGTGCATTCGTTTCCAAACGTGAACGCGACGCTTTTGCGGATGAGTTGGACAATGTCGTAGAGCTCAGACGAATTGCAAGGTTGAACTACCTTGCTATAGCATATGACAGGGAACGAGGGCGTGGCTCAATGTTCGAGGGCGTGGATGAAGATACGATGCGTATGATCTTGGACAAAACATAATATATGGGCCAACATCGATAGATATCACCCAGGGAAGTTTTTCAGTTCGACCTGGTTGACACGAAGAAACACCAAACAGCTTGGAACCAGTCTTTATTGAAACACCACACAGCTTGGAACCAGTTTGAACCTTGAAATAACCTGTATTCGGTTGTCTTTATTGAAACACCAAACAGCTTGGAGCCAGTTTGAACCTTGAAATAACCTGTATTCGGTTGTTTTTATTGAAACACCAAACAGCTTGGAATCAGTTTGAACCTTGAAATAACCTGTATTCGGTTGTCTTTATTGAAACACCAAACACACGTCTCATGTCTTGGGTTCGTTGGAGGCCATGATATAACGTATGAGCGCGTTGGTATCCTTGATCATATCCATCATGTGATGTGGGGGCATATGTTTGAAGCACAGAGTCATCGAAACTATCGAGGCGCTGGGCTGGTGCAGCAGCAACATGCTGCGCGCGCTACACACGCGTCCACACCACTTACACCGGTGCTTTCGGTCGCGCGGTATGGGCCGTGACACCTCTGCGATGATGTTGTCTTCGGCGCGTCTCTTTTGTTCGGCTGTTGTGATTGCCATCGCCCCGTGGGTCTCAACACCACCAGTCCATGAACGATGCATGTTGTGGGGGTCGAAGAGTGGCAGGGAGATGCCGATGGGTTGTCGCGTGCACATGAGCGGATGTACGGGGTTGTACTCGTGTAGAGACGTGCATTCATGGCAACCGAAATACGCGATGTTCTTGATGTTCAGCAGCTTACCAAGCACATTGACACATAGCACAGTGTCGTCGGAGTTACAATTCGCACAAGTAAGTTTAGAAGTCGATGTCTGCATCCTCAGCTTCGATATTTTCAACATTGATTTCGTGTTGACGGCGAGGACACATTTGATACAGATGTGCTTCTCGCATATCGAGGTTATGGGGAACAGCTGATCGCTGTACTTGGCTGAAATGCGCGCCGCCTGCGCTCGGACCATGTTCCACGGGAGCATTCTCGTATGCAGTGCTTGTTCGACGCAATTGGTTGGGGTCACACAGTTGTGTGTGTTTGGGTCTGGGTATACCACATGAGCATGTATGGCTGCATGAAGTTGCTCCGGTATTAAAGATGGAAACACGTTGGGTGTGTTTGGCGATATCACACGGGTTCGACACATGCGCGATATGCGATCCAGCGACGCAGCACAGACGGAGTTGATATGATCCCAGCTCCATGTCTTGGATTGCACGCACGTCTGGCGCACGTGATCGCACAGAGTGGCGCAGGCTGTATCGTAGTTGGGCAGGAATGGAGCTTGACTTGTGAGGAATTCGTTTTCAACTGGGCAGAAGTCGACGCGCACATTCATGATATACTCCGTGAAGCTCATGCGGAGAAGGTCGTGCGACAGCGCAAGGAACTGTTTCTGTGTATCAAACGACGACGTTTGGAGTTGGTGAATACATGCCGCTATGGCAACGCGCGTCCGCCAGAGAGGGTGTTTGGAAGAACGCGGGTATAACCCGAGCAGACTGGCCTGTATGATATTGAGGCACACACATGCCTCTATCGGGCACAGTGGCGGTGCAGGGCTTCCGCGTCGGGTGCGAGTCTTTCTCTTGAGTGGTGACAACAACTGGATGTAGTATGCGATGATTCCAGGTTCTCTGGTCATGGTGAACGAGAATGGAATATAGCGTGTAAGATCCGGGAGCGTGTCATAGTGTGGTACATCCATCACATCGACCTGCATGTCATATAGGTCGCGCCCCGAGAGAGTTTTCTCACATGCGCACAGCATGAGGTATGTGTCTATTTCCCGCTGTACCGACCGATACCCTCTCTTCAAACGCATGTGAAGGTTGGTTAAAATGTCGTTGACACCAGTGTCTGTCATACAGAATTTGTTTTGTACACCGTCGTCTGTGTGTGTTGGGTCTTGATGCGTCTGGGGTGTATATTTTGTGTATGTGTCGTGAGAATTATGTGTGGTGGGGGTGGGCTTGTCGTGTGAATTATGTGTGGGGGAGTTGAATGTAGAACCGTCTGAAGTCGAGACAGAGTCTGGGGTGTGGGGTGTATCATGGAGATCAATGTGAACCCCCTCGCCTTCCAACACCCTCTGTGTGACCGTTGAGTCACGAAGAGGGTGAATGATCAATGCAGAACTCACTGCGTAAAAGACGAGGGGCTGATAAAATCCTCATACTTCACATGGTGTTGGCGCAGGTACCGTATTCCGTTCTGGGAATACACAGAGTATCGATGGCGTTGGTGTGAAACCATTGGCAGTGGCATATTATGCATCAGACCGTTCTGTGGGCATATGAGCATTGCTTCCCGCGCGTACTCGCCTGGCTGGTTGCACAAGCTTCCATACCGTTGGATGATACCGCGAAAGCGATGTCCGTTGAAAACCATGTTGTAAAAGAGCTCCTGTGTCAAGCGCCTGGAACACAATATGCACATTTGGGACCCTGCATCCATCGCTGATGCGTCATCCCCCAGTGTGAATTCGACGCCCACGAATGGCATCTGTGGATCGATGAAGTTACATTCGCAGTTATCCCCACATACGCAACTGCGCTCATTTGCGTGAATAACTTCGCGCATGAAACTCTCCTCGAAGGCACGTGTCACAACTGGGACGACAACAGAGCTGTTTGCGTCGTCGGTGAACACTTGGTTCAACATTTGCGAGTACGGGAGTCGGCTGATGAGGGAGTGGATGTCCAGCACCACCGGTGGAGCTTCTGTTTCTGTCGTGACCAATACGTCGACTGGCTTGAAGCTGTTTTCATCCCTCTCCTCGTTCCGTATCTGTGTCTTCTGGTATTCGATTCTCTGCTTGAGCAACGATTCTGTCGTCGACGAGATTGGCGCATCGTGACGTGATTCTATGTCGATGCAGATTCTCTTCTGTTGGGGCTCTTCTTTTTGCGATTGTGTCGATGCAGATGCTGCCATGGTTTCGGTGAGCACTGGTTCTTCAGCTTCAACATTCGTTTTCGGCTTGGTCCTGCGTTTGCGCTTATGTACAGACGAGTCGGGGTCTGATGGTCTTGTTTGGCTGTTCCATGTCTCTGGAAATTGGATCATTTTACAGTATTCCACAGATTGTCGCGCTCAGGATTTCGCATACACGGAGGCATTCCCGGATGTTTTTTTTGTCAAACAAAAATTGTTTTTTGTTTTTTCTGGTCAAATTCTTTTTAAAGCAGGTGGAGGTCGGCATATACACAGTAATACTCCACTTCTATATCTCGACCGTCTCGGAAATCCACCGTGGTGTAGTGGTAGCATACCAGCCTTTCGTGCTGTTGAGTCCGGTTCGACCCCGGACGGTGGAATTAAATAATGGCGGCGCGCTTCTTTTGCGCGCATGTACGGACCCATCCGAGCTTCTCTTTTTGCCTTTTTGCAAAACATCTACTTTTTGTAAAATTTCTACCACTTATTGCAAAACACGGTAGACGGGCTCGCCACACACCAGGGTGGGTCCGTGGTTGGTTTGCTGTAAAACACGTCATACCTTGGCTCCTACACATTTGCCGGCGAAAAGGGTTGCGGCATTCCGATCAAATGAGATTTTTTTGCATATTTCTATACAGACACACTCGTGGGCCTCTGGCAGTCTGTGTTGTCCGCAAAATTGTTGCCTGCAGTACTTGCATTTTCCAACAACCATCACTACCCTGGCTCTACACACATCCAAGTCGCATATTGTTCTCTTCCGATGTATTTTGTTTTCATTCATTTGATGTGTACGGTTGTATTGTGATTCAATACTACGTTTATATATCACTCGACTTACGCACGCTCGTAATGTGATCATTTAGTAGCAACAATGGCAGTAGAGCTTTGTTGCGCTCGGGACATAGTGCTATTGACAGTAGCAATGATGATGACAAAGCCGAGTAAGACAGGAATACCATTACTATCTCCAATAGAATTTACGTAAGCTGTGACGTCTCGTATCGCTCCATTGAGGCCTACCAAAAACAGCAGGTCTATCAACCATGGAATCGTGCTGACAGCATTAGGGATGTGACGCAAGAGTGTAACCGCGACGAACATCAACACTGCCAGTGTTACACCAGTGAGTTGTATTTCGGAGAATATCAGTGTGATGAATGTAGCAGTACGCCATGTTGTGAATTGTTGTACACCCTGGAGATCAGCAGATGTGCCATGAAAGTGCCACAGCAAACTGAACACACCAAGAATTATAGCAAGGTCGAGGAATCTATCACCGGATGGTGCAAATGTCACAGCACTAAATGCATCAAAAAAGATAAGGTTTGTCACATCGCACATGGGACCAATAAGTCTGGCATTATGGGTAGATTCCAAAATCCCCTTGCGGGCATATGGAGATACTAATATGACCACGAATGATACGAGCACAAAAACTCGACTTTCCTGCAGCGGTGAAATGATTCCAGCAATGTTGGTTGAAAAGGCGTAAACAATCTGAGATGAAAATTGCTCACCATCATCTTCAGCTGCGACACTGTGCGGAATTAACGTGAGTGCAGCAAGAACAGCCAAGCCCTTAATTATAATCAACACTCGATCTTTAGGGTCTGGTGAATTTACTGTGCCGTCTACATCAGACATCGTCGCCTTCATAATAGCGTGTGAGAATATAAACAATGTGACTCGTCGCAGACAGAATATCGTTCGAGTAACAGACCCCCCAGAAGGTATCGTATGCAGAATTGTCATACATAAAATATTCAAACTTCCGATGAAGACTGCTGTCCATAGTACTGGTATAACATCCCCCATCATCTTCAGAAACAAGTTAATTATAGACAACATTACCACGCGCTCTACGCGTGACGTGATGGTCGTAATGGTGTGGAATGGGATCATTTTCGAGGGTGTACTCATCCGTGTGTGGTGTTGATTTCGGTGGGAATGTAATTAAATATCAGTGACTGTGGGGGTGTGAACCATGGCTCTCCAAAGACCCATTTGCAAAACCTCCGAGATTCAAGAGCAGATACGTACGGCCCATTATCAGAAGATAGCTTTTCAATACACGGCGAAGAGACAAGTGGCGAACCAACCCACCTCATATTTCAATTTGTTTGACTTGATTTCCAAAGTCGGTCCCACAGACTGGGTTTGCATACGACAGGGCATCATATATTTAAAGAACGTTCGAGGCTCATTGTATCTGCTCAGATATAATGAGCATGGAACCTACGAATTCTGCTGCTTACATTTCTATGGATGATAATGCTGCGAACGCAGATTCTCTTATGACTTCTGCGAAGCCGCCTATTCGCATTACTCGACGGTTCAATGTCCAGATCAGTGGATCTATGCAGGACTTTGAGTCGATGGGTAAGACTGCCGCCACGTGGGCGCCTGTCGGAAACTGCCATGCGGAGATGTTCGGTGCTGAACTCGACAGTAATGGCTCATACGGGAATGACACCGTGGCAATCACCAACGCGATTGGAAACGCTGTCATTGTGAAGGCTACGATGCTGCAGTCGAAGTCTACGTTCCCTATCGCACTTGGTCTCACGATGCGTGGTGTTCCTGAGAAGGAGTATATCGAAACCGGTGAGAAGTTCCTCACTACGATCATCCCCGAGCACACTAGCACCACCCCCGAGGTGCTCTTCGAGGCCGACATCACAGCGCGGCAGGGACTAGAGTGGCGGAGCCTCTACCCGCAGTACAATGCAACGAACCTCGAGAAGCAGGGTGTGGTACGTAATCCCATCCCAGTTCGTGCAACAATCCCATAATGTTCATTTGATAACACATATTAATCCCATTTCCATCCAATTATCAGTACTAAAATTCACCACTCAATCAGATGGATGTGGCCGGATGCCCTTATGTCTTTGTGAGCCAGGGACACCCTGCTATCAACCTACTCCGCGCAAACTCTGAGCTTCTGGGCAGTGATATCGATACCATGGCAAAGATTGGTACAACCCCAACTAACCCCTTCAACATTGTATGACGCAATAACAATGTTGCCAAATTAACACACTAACAATGTTGCCAAATTAACACAATAACAATGTTGCCAAATAACACAATAACAATGATGCCAAATTAACACACTAACAATACCAAACTACCCCGATTTTGACACTGTACTGAACAACGTCCCCCATTTTCAGACAACGAATGGTTCAAGGTTTCGCGGCAGGTTGTTATGCAGTGCTGCCAGACGCTCCGCACGCAGGTGCTGTCAAAGGTCCAGAGCTCGGATCTCAACGAGCTCAACGTGCAGCTGCATCGTTTCCAGGGTGTCCCGTGGACCTCTCTACCAAACGATGCGTTTATGACGACGGGGAACATGGCCGCAGAGGCCCAGCAGGTTGAGTATGCCAACACCCTGATGAAGCCTTGTATGCATATGGCACGAATTGAGCTTGTTTACGAGGTCAACCCGTGATGTATGCCAAAAACCTGACGAAGCCTTCTATGCATACGGAACGAATTGAGCTTGTTTACGACGTCAACCCGTGATGTATGTCAAAAACCTGACGAAGCCTTGTATGTATGTATATGTCACAAATCGAGGTCTGTAAATACGTGTTTTCTGTTTCATTACATAAATCATAAAATATTTTAGTTGGTCGTCAACCGTCTACCAATATTCCAATTGCGTTGTCAACTTTATACCACACAAATCCCCAGCCTTTCTGCTGTTATGTGCATGGGTGGTAAAATAGCAATGGGTGGTACATGGTGTATAACATGTACCACATACACCATACACACAAGTACAATCATGGAACGTATTAAAGGGATGTGTCCTGGTTCACATACAACTCCTGAGAATGTCGGCTGGTCCAGAAAACGGACAAGGTTCTCGTGGGGATTCAAGCCTAGGGGTCATTCCCACAGGCTCATACATGCCAGGTGATGGTGGTGGTACCTACACCAAGAGTGACCGCAACCCGTCAATCCAAGAGTATGAGTCCGTCTTTGGCCCCTCTGCACGCGACATCAAGGAGGATCCGATGCGAAGCAAACGCCACCAGCGCTGGCACCTCCCCGATGTGCTCAAGGGGCCGAACCCGTTCCTCACCGATCGGATTGACGGGCTCATTACTGACACCACGAACTCCCCTTTCACGTCAACTATTCTCCCTTACACGTACCTAGAGCACCCGGATGCAAAAATCAAGTGGAATGTCTGGTCTTTCGACGAGGGTATGGCTAACCGTGTTCCATACGAGTCGGCGGCCCGTGTTCTCACTCAGAGCAAGCAATCGTTTGCTGGATACACGGTTCGTCAGGGTCTCGCCATCACCATGGAGCATAATTTCATGATGTCTCCTGAGGGTCGCGTCAACTTCGCAAACCAGCTCAAACAGATGGTGGGTTCTATTCAGTACACGAACGACCTCGACGTCCACATTGCCCTCATCACTGCTCCGTCGTATGCACGGAAGATCAACGAGAAGTACTATGCACGTGACAAGAATGTCTGGCAGCGATGCCGTCAATATGTTGACCTCTTCGGTATCATGCAGAAGAACCCAAACGCGCTTGACCTTATCATTGAAGACACCAAGGCAACCATGAAGTCATGGGGTTCGCAAGACCCGTCGTTCCTTCTCACGAACAGTAAGCTGACGATGCAGCTGACAATGACACCCGAGAGGACGCAGTATGTCACTCAGGGTCCGGACGGTCTCAAGCGCTTGGCCGACGGTCCCAACCTCACCAAGTACCGTGGTCTCGACGTCATCCACTCGCGCTCATTTTCGACAGAGACGGGTGCAAGGCCGCGCGACCTCCTTGACCGCCGTGTGCGCGTGGCTGAGTATTACGTTGTCCATGGTGTTAGTATGAATGATATCGATACCCTAACAGTTCAGATGTACGACCAGTCCAAAGATACTATGTTTGTGCTGTCGGGGTATGACCTACTTGAAAATGCTCTACTACCTGATGAAAAGGAGGAAGCTAAGATCGAATTATACCCTCCCAGAACGAGGGGTGGTGGTGGCCGTACACCGTTTTCTGTTCGGACCATAATAGAAAACCGGACTAAGAACTCGCGTGGCCAAACTAAAGCATCGAAAGCCGCGGAAACTATCAAATGTAACAAGTGGGCTGATGTTGCACGTCAGGCAGCCAGCAAGAATCAAAGCATATTTGAGCTGATTAAGGACAATATGATTTATCACGGCAATCTTGGCACTGGTGCGCAAAGATATTTGATTTCCAATGCATTGACGATGCCTTTCAAATACATTGATGCAGACAACATCGAGACGCATTGGAAATTAACTGCAAAGGACCCTTTGAGGACTACTCAGGTTCACGATTGTCTTCAGGAATGGACCACATACACCAATGG